CTATAATTTTCTGCTTTTCTGGTAAGAGAAAATTCTCGACTATGCAGAAGTATGCCCATTCAAAACCTACCATTTCCCTCCTTTTGACTGTGCAAACATAAAAGCCAGGATGTGTGTACGCAAGAATTGTCTTATCTTGCATTACAAGGTTCTGAACATGGTGGTTCTCCATCTAGGGTTGCTTTTGCTCTGAGAATGCAGATGGATGACAGCAGTGGAGGTTAGGACTGCGCAATCTGGTCCCCAGAGCTTTTTCTCGGTGCTTGCTTCATACCTGTGGTGTGAATGAACTCAACACAATGAAACCATTGATGTGTTGTATGCTAACTTGTAGGGCTTGGGTTATATTCTTAGGTTATTGGCTTTACAACGCTCCAGCTGGAGCCTGTTTACTTGTTTCATTCAAATATGGCAGACCTTATTATGCCCTAGTGTCTGGTGAGTTCAGCTGACTTCTTTAAAGCCTGCAAAGATGTGAAGGTGCAACTTGGCCTGGAGTATGTGCAGTTTATTGGTTAATACTGGTGTCGAAGTTGCACATAGAAACCTCTGTTATGCAGCCCCAGGGAAGACATGGTTCATCTCATTGCCAGTTTCTGGAAACTGACAGCCAAAGAAACCAAAGTAAAATTTCTGGGAAAGCTATCCAATATGATAGGTATGCAATGTCATTCACATCTGTCTGTAGACAAGTATATGAATTAGCAAACTTTTCCATGTAAGTGCATAGAAAGCTGACTGCAAGCAGCCATCTCTGCTCTCTGCAGGAGGGTTGGACTAGATGATCTTTAAAGGTCCCTTCCAACCCAAACTATTTTATGATTCTATGATTCTATCATTAACTGGTCGATTGCTCATAGACATTTCACACAGGGAGACCAAGTATTTCGCTATGTCTATGTTAATAAGTAGTGTGTTCCCACAGACACAGATTTGTCATTTAGCATACAGACTTCTATGTGAGTGTGCTCCCAATCCAAGCTAGAACACTAAATGGACCGCATGTTGTAGATGCTCTGTCTGAGCTGTCACTTGCTATTAATAGTATTTCAATAATAATTTGGTAGTGCTTGACTCTTTTGATTCTCTAACAGGAATATTTTTCTAATAGTTTCATCTTTTGTAGTATCTAGGAGAGGTTGTGGAGCTAAGGACACTCATGGCAGAGAAGTTAAAACTCAGTGTAGAGAGATGGCACTCAAATTAAATGTATTCTTTTTGTAGGTTAGCACTCTACACAGTCTGACTGGTGCTTCAACCTAAACTGGTGGCCTCATCCTAAAACATGCTGTCCTGTGTCATATATTGATTGGAAGTACCTTTCAAATCACTTCCTCATACTTAACTAGCTTTCAGGTTTAGCTTTAGATGAGGCATATATGGCTGTATGGCCAAGGAGAAGAGGGAGAGAAAGATAACTATTCATCTGCTGTCCTTGATGCCAGGTAATTCATAGATCTAATCTGTGCAGCCCCATTCTTCAAAAGATTTCCTATTATAAGCAGTTCATAATTTGAACTGCTCAAGGAGTCCATTTCAAAATAAGGAAAAGGATGCAGTGGTTCAGTCCCCTTAGTGACTGTAATTAACTACTTTTATCCTACAGAATAAGATCTATGTGAATGGTTTGCAACTTACGGGAGCAGAAGCTATTTTAAAACAGGGAATATATAGACGCTATGTTCAGTTGTCATGCAAGGGAGAGGAAGGGAGGGGGCATAGCAGCTATGGGCTCGCAGTTAATTATCAAGTCAGTTGCTAAGAAATTTGATTAGGTTATTGCTTGTGCTCAGCACATCAGCTTTGCTCTTGTGAAGGTGCTTTGCAATTTTCAGAAAGGGTTTTAGAAGGCCAGAACATGGAGAATGGCACAGTCAGGTTGTTTTGACAGGTGGTGGAAGACTGCTTTGATTTGCAGATATGCAAGTGTTAAACACAGTACCCTCTTCAGCCAAATTTATACCCAGGTAATTATAACTCCAAAATGATCTCCACCACATCCCCCTTCCTGCCTCCAACGAGTTCAGCTGCCTTATGCAGCATGTTTTGTTGCCCTAATCTGTGGTGTAGAGCTGATTTTACAGCAGCTGCTGTGTATCATCCCAGAGATGGTTGTACTTCAGTGGTGGACAGAGTGATTTATGTGTAGATAGATATAGTTTATACACTCATTTACTAAAGTTTATAAAGACATGTGAGAGCCATCTGAGAAAACGCGCTATAAATGACTGGCCCAGTTTCAGTTTTTACGGCACACCGATCAAAAACTGAAAGGACAGTGACCTTGTGATAGCCAGTGAGGAGAGCAAGGTCAGTCCATCTGGGTGTACAGCAATGTTTTGGTGGCTCTAGTTGTTGTACTTAAGGATACCCTTGAGTTTGCTCTGATCTTCACCTCTCTTACTGGCACAGTCATTACCTTAGCAGAACGGCACAGCATGCAAGGGAAGGAGAAAGTCAAGGCACTGCTGTGTTAGAGATCCCCATGCTAGCTTGGTGCAAGCTGCTGTAGTGTGGTGCAGAAATATGAGATTAGGTGCTAGAAGTGGTCTAGCCCCAGTGCTGAGCAGGGATTCGGGATACCAGAGGGAGAGGTAGGTCTGACTGACCGCATTGTACTGCTGTATGGTGTCTGGTTTGTGTCAGAGCTTTCTTAGGAGACCTCTCTGTCACTCTTCACCACACTGCCTGAATGGCACTTCCAGCAATATGTCCTCAGAAAACAGTGTCTGGAGTGGGTCCATGCATCATTACCTCTTTTTATACCTCTGGGACCTTCCTCCTCCATTCACTGAAGGGCTTTTTAGGTCTCTTCTTGGCTGATAGCTCAGTGTGGAGGCTGGATGATGTGTCTTTCCCTGAAAGTGAGAAGAGGCACCTGGCCCATTTCAGAGTCTGTCAAGCAGGAGAAGCCTCTATCCTCGGTTATTGTAGAAGGCAAAACACACAAGTTATTGCCCTCCTCACCTCTGTCTGCATCTTTG